AAAATTTGATGAAAAACGAGATTTAAAAATGGAATGGAAAATGTAAAACCATTGCTATCTGCAGATGACAGCGAAACTGAATATTTGGAAAATTGAAGTGAAAGAACTTTTCAATTTTAAAAACTGTAAGAGAATATACTAAAGTAGTAAGGTATAGGATTATTACACAGAAATCATAGCTTTCTTATATATTAACAGTAGCCCGTTAGAAGGTATAATGGAAGCAAAGACCCCATTTACAATAGCAACCCAGAGATAAAATACATAGGAATAAACTCAACACAGCATGTGCAAGATTCAGATGAAAAGCATTAAAACAAGGCCCAACATCTGCTCTCAGACCCAACGGTTACACTTCTGGCTGCTTATCACATAGCTGTCCCGGCCTACACTGAAAAGATATGTTTTGAGATTGTTACAGCACTGTCTGTAATTGCGGACAGTAAATAATCCATCAATAAAGAACTAGTTGAGGGCCGGGCGCGGTGGCTCACGCCTGTAATCCCAGCACTTTGGGAGGCCGAGGCGGGTGGATCACAAGGTCAAGAGATCGAGACCATCCTGGTCAACATGGTGAAACCCCCTCTCTACTAAAAATACAAAAAATTAGCTGGGCATGGTGGCACGTGCCTGTAATCCCAGCTACTCAGGAGGCTGAGGCAGGAGAATTGCCTGAACCCAGGAGGCGGAAGTTGCGGTCAGCAGAGATCATGCCATTGCACTCCAGCCTGGGTAACAAGAGTGAAACTCCATCTCAAAAAAAAAAAAGAACTAGTTGATAAAATACAGTATTTACTTTGATTTACCCAAGTAATGGGCTATGATACAGCTACAAAAGAGAGTAACTGTCCACTGGTGGATATGGTAAGCTCTCCAACCTATAGCGTTATTTGAAAGCACAAGAGGTGGAGTAGTGTGAACAGAGTTTCCCTTTTTTGTGTTAAAAAGGAAGAAAAATAAGAATGTGTATTTACTTTTATTTGTATATCTTCCTACTCTGGAAGGATACATAAAAAAATTCATGACAATGGTAACGTGTAGATGAGTAGCAGGCATTTGAAAGAATCTTTTCACTGTATTCCTTTTAATACATTTTTAATTTTTTAAACTATGTGTGTCAATTACCTATTCCAAATTAAATATAAAATATTTAGGAGAAATACACAGAGTTTAGAGAATAGCACATGGCAGCCTAACCTAGGTTTTTTGTTGTTGTTGCTGCTGTGTTTAATTATTTCTTAACTCAGAATTGGGAGGCACATCATGCACATTACAGGGTGAAGGCATTTGGAAGACTGATATTTGACCTAAGATGCCATGCAAAGTTGGGTTTGTTTGTTTGTTTGAGATAGAGTCTCCCTCTGTCGCCCAGGCTGGAGTGCAGTGGCACAGTCTTGGCTGACTGCCACCTCTACCATCCAGTTCAAGCAGTTCTCCTTCCTCGGCCTCTCGAGTAGCTGGGACTACAGGCGTGTGCCACCATGTCTGGCTTATTTTTTGTATTTTTAGTAGAGATGGGGTTTCACCGTGTTAGGATGGTCTTGATCTCCTGACCTTGTGATCTGCCTGCCTCAGCCTCCCAAAGTGCTGGGATTAGAGACGTGAGCCACCGTGCCCAGCCTTTTTTTTTCCCCCCCGGAACCTGGCTTTAGGTGAAAAATACTCGTGCTAATTTTCTGGCTTGCTCGAGTCAGCAGAATGCTTAAACAAATGTCCGGGACAGTTGCCGGGCAGCCCCACAGAACAGGCAGAGTTTTCCAGGACGGCCCATTAATTCTTTCTGCCTCTAGAGGCATTCAGAGACAGGAACATTAAATGTGGAGAGACAAGCCCAATAGCACTGGTATCAGCTATTTTTCTCGTAAAATACCGTATTTTGATGTGACGCTATTGAACCTTCACATTTAACGACCTCTGCAACACAGCTCTATCAGGCGAAGCCATCTGTATTTGGGAAAATATGTCCACTCTTCTGTTTACTCTGCATACATTGTCTTTACTTAAGGTTTAGGGGGAGATGCATCTATTTGGACATCTGTACTTAACTGATTATAGGCATGGTGAGCAAGTTTCGTCCTTGTGCCTGCAGCTGCCGGGAAATGATAAGAGCCCAACGTATGTTAGAAGCAACAATCGCAGACAAAGAGTACAACTTGTTTTTGAAGGTATGTAAACCTGAAGTTTAAGAGGCTGGGAGTTGCTGCCTTTCTTCCCTCCCACCTTGAGTATTAGTTCTATTCAAAATAACAAATATTCTAACGTGCCAGGACAGCATAGCTTTTTTGCTTTGGAAAGGAAAATGCACAGCTTGTGTGAAGTCACCCACTACGCTGGCTCCTAAGGCGGACACCCGAATTACCTCTGCCTCTGCTTCAGAAGGCTGCTGCCACCTATGGGCGTCTGTCTGCATCTACGCAGATGTGAGGTCTCCGAGTGGGGAGAAGGAAGTACTAACACACGGAGAATACAGGGCCCAGAAGGGGAGCATGTGGAAGTCAGGGTAGGAACGGCACGAGAGCCATCCCATCCTCTGAGAACTGCGACCCAGCTCTTTCCTATGAACCTTCGGGTGAAATAAGATGATCCACCTCAACAGACCCGTGGTGGGGAAAGGAGAAACCTCGACAAAAAGAAATCACATCCCTGCCTATCCGTTAGACTCCTGGGGCTCTGACCATACTGACTTGTCAAATGAGAACACTCAGACACCACCCTGTACTTGCCGGCATAGTTCCTGTCTGTTTGTACGTGTATTCCACGAGAATATTGCAACAAAGAAAATACAATTATTTTTAGATGGAATTTTGCTCTCATCACACTGGCTGGAGTGCAATGGCATGGTCTCAACTCACTGCAACCTCCGCCTCCCAGGTCCAAGCGATTCTCCTACCTCAGCCTCCCAAGTAGCTGGGATTACAGGTGCCCGCCACCACGCCCAGCTATTTTTCTATTTTTAGTAGAGACAGGGTTTCACCATGTTGGCCAGGCTGGTCTTGGACTCCTGACCTCAGGTGATCTGCCTGCTTCAACCTCCCAAAGTGCTGGGATTATGGGCGTGAGCCACTGCACCAGCCCTATAATTTTTAAATTATTTCTTTTTTTTATTCAGACAGAGACTTGCTCTGTCACCCAGTCTGGAACCTGGTGGTACGATCTCTTCTTACTGTGACCTCCGCCTCCTGGGTTCAAGTGATTCTTGTGTCTCAATCTCCCGAGTAGCTGGAATTATAGGCGCACAGCTGTGTCTAGATAATTTTTGTATTTTTAGTAGTGACAGGGTTTTGCTTTAGCTAGTCTCAAACTCCTGGCCTCAAGTTTCAGCCAGGCTGGTCTCAAACTCCTGGCCTCAAGTGATTTGCCCATCTTGGCCTCCCAACTTGCTGGGATTACAGGCATGAGTCACTATGCCCAGTCTGAATTAGTTTTTAAAAAGTTTTTGTTGGGCAGCAAAACACACTGCCATGTGTGTACCTATGCAACTGTCTTGCATGTTCTGCACATGTACTCCAAAACCTAAAATGCAATAAAAAAAAAGTATTTGTTTCACTTGCTTATATCCTATAAATCCTAGAATCACGAACTCTATTAAGTGTTGGGGACTGTGTAAAGCAAACAGGCCCACACTTTAACTCCAGGAACCTATTTTAAGATATCCTGGACAGGGAGTCCTCTGGCCTGTGTGTAATGGCTAACTGGTGCGTCAACTTCACTGGGCCATGGGTTGCCCAGATAGCTGGACAAACATTATTCTAAGTGTGTCTGTTTTGGGACGAAGTTAACATTTACATCAATAGAGTAAGGCAAATTGCCCTCCCTAACACGGGTGGGCCTCATCTAGTCCACTGAAGGCCTCAACAGAACACAAAGGTTTACCTTCCCCCTATTACAGGAGTTCCTCCTGCTTGATTGCCTTCCAGCTGGGATATAGGTTTTCTTTTTGCCTTCAGACTCAAACCGAAACACTGGCTCTTCCCGAGTCTCAAGCCTGCTGGACTTTGAGCTGGAACTAAACACTCTGCTCTCCTGTGTCTCCAAGCTGCCCACTCTCCCTGGGGATCTTGGGACTTCCCAGACTTCAGAATCACATGAGCCAATTCCTCATCATAAATCTCTTTGTCTATATGCACACATCCTGTGAGCTCTGCTTCTCCGGCGAACTGGGATAATATGCTGTGTTAAAGCATTTTCAGGGCTGCTCATGTGCTAAGTGAGTCCAAGGCCAAGCAGTTAGCTCCTAAGAGAACCAAGAGCTGGACTCAGAAATGTCATCTCCTCCTGGATTTCTCTGTTTTCACCCCTCCACTCATCCCTTCATTCAGCAAGCATTTATGACCTAGAGCTAAAATTGAGCCACTTTACAAAGTACTCACAATAAATATTTTGCAATTACCTCCTTGCCTGCAAACCCAGTCATGCTCAGTATTTCAGCAGCTCACAATACAGTCGTGCCCACCTTCTCCAACAGCACCCCCTGCTGGTTTTCCTCCTACCTCATCAAGGGTCCTCTCAGTTCTCTTTGCTAGGTCTTTCTCAGCATGGGGTAACAGGCTCTGGTCTGGCCACCTGCTCCTCCCTACCTGCACCTTCCCATTAGGTGCACTCATCCCATCTCTTGGCTTTAAATGCCTTCTGTATGTTGAGTCCCAGACTTATATTTCCAACCCTAAACTCACTTCAATGCTCCAGATTTGCATGTTCAACTGTCTACTGTGTAGATATTGACTGAGTGACTTAAATTTAACACATTCCAAACAGAGCTCTTGATTTTCTTTATCTCCCGCTGTCCCCGACCACCTTGGGCACGTGTCGCCAGGACTCCCTGAGACTGTGTCATGGGCCTTAACCTCAGAAAAATAAACTTTCTAAATTGATTGAGACCTGTCCCAGATATTTTGGGTTTACATCCCCTACACTTCATCCATGGTGGCCTTTTGATACTCCACCAGGCTGAGCTCGCTCCTGCCCATCTGTTCCCTCTACTTAGAAAGGTCTTGTACTACCTCCTTTCATGGTTGGTGCCTCCTCAGGCCTCGGTTCTGCGGTCTTCTAAGACAGGCCTTGGAATCTGGCAGATACAGATCCTGTAAAGGAACAAGGTTACAAAGTCACAAACCTGATGTGCCAGGAAAATGTAGTTTCTTCCTCCTATGAAGCTGCTCTATGTGTTTCTGCCTCCTAGAGAGGAGAGAAAATGAATACACAACATTTGTCTCATTTGGCACGATTCAAGGATTTAAACAAAGTCTACAGGTGTAATTGAGCCATTTGGGGCGACTTTCACTTTATTTCCATTCTATCCCTCCTATTTGTCCCTGAGATACTGTCTAGGACTTGAAAGAAGATAGAGTGGGGAGGAAATCCCTTGCCCTCGTGTGGTCTGTGGGCGTGTGCTGGGTTTTATCTTCTGAGTTGGCTAAGTTCCATTCTGGGGTATCCTGATGGTCTCCTGTTGACGTCTGCAGTTGGTGAAGTGATGAACTGTCATTTGTCCCTTCAGGCAGAGCTGGCGGTCCCTCCCTGATGCATATACCTCTTTCAACTCTCACTGGCCATCCAGACTCCTCTCAACTTGCCTCTGTTCTCTTCACATTGCATTCAGGGCCTTGTTAGACAAATATCATGGCCTGCCATACATATCCAATCTCATCTAAGTCCATCATCTGCCACAACTCTGAAGCCAGGTATGTCACAAGATTCACTGTTCCTGGCCACAGCCCAGGAGGGCACTTAGCCCACCCATATAGCCTGTGACCAATCAGATTCTCTCTCTCTTTCTGTTTCTCCCCCCGCTCACACACACACACACACACACACACACTCTCTCTCTCTCTCTCTCTCACTCTTATCTCTCTCTCCTGTCTCCATCTCACTCCCCTCAATAAATTGAGCAAAGGACACTGAAACAGGTCAGGAGATTGATTTTCAGTATTCCATATCCGTGCATGTCCTTTTCCCCTCATTGTCTGAATACATTCAGTACTCCTACACTCTGCTTCCCTTTCCCATCTCCACACTTGCTTAAATAGCTCAAGAGAGTTTCTCTTCCTTGTAACCAGTAGCACTTTGGAGAACAGACCCTTCAACTAGACACCGTCTCCCTAGTATACTGGCTCTTCTACTTTTCCTGTATACCAGTCTTCACTTTCAGCCAAAATGATCTATTTACTGTGCCCTAATTACCTCTGGAAATTTCCCCATCTGAGGCTTGGTATGTTCTTCTATCATTCCCAGTTCTATAGATTTACCTGCTATTCCTACTCCGCTGTCTCCATGAAGCAGGGTGCTCTCCGCCCCCTTGACTCCAGAGTACTGTGTTTTCAGCCCCCTAGAGCACCGGTTTTACATCTAGCAGGTAACACTTTCTCCTTTCGTATTTTATTCCCTGGGGGCTGCATAGTCCTCGCCTGCACCCGCATGGTACTGTGCCCACTGCAGGAGCTCGGTCAGTATTTGTGGAATCTCAGGGAAGGAGTGGCGCTTTAAAGTTTAAAGCCAGAGAAACTTACATGCTCAATTCAGCAAACCCCCATCAAGTGCCTGCTACGAGCCAGCAGGGACGCTGTTACTACAGCCGTGAAAAGAAAGCAGTCTTTAATTACAGAGGAGACAAATAGAGACGCTGTGAGCTAGGATGAAGAGGGCTGGCAGGGACATAGGTACAGAGGCTCAGGTGACTGCAGGTGATGAGGAGTAAGTCTGCCCAAGAGAGTGGCATCCAGGAAGGTTTCCCAGAGGAGATCACATTTGGGCTAGCCTTAAAAACGGGACAGGTGTTCTCTAGGTTGAGAGGTGGAGGAGTAGGGATGGACGAGACAGACCCAGACTGGAAATGAAGGTGCAAAAGCACATGATGTGTTTTAAAACTGTCAGAAAACCAGTGTGTGTGTGCATGTGGGTGTGTATGCATGATGTGTGTTGTCTCTATGTGTGTAGTGTGTGCATGTGTCTGTGTGTGTAGAAGGTTTGGGTGAAGAACAATATAGTGGGGAAAATGGGGAATTTGATCTGAAATGAGAAGGGGTCAAATTGTGGACAACACTGCATTTAATATTAAACACTTTAAACAATTTGGTAGGCAGAGGGAGGTAAGTAAAGGCTTTAATCAGCCAAAGAATGTGATCACCTTGTGTTTTAGGAAGATAATGATGGATGCATGGTAGAGCATTTGAGAAGATGAGCAGTCTACCCACTGATAACCCTCTGTCGAGTATTTACACCTGCGTCTATCCCCACACCTTCGTCCATGTTCATATCTGTATCCATGTCTATCTCTGGATCTATGTATCTACCTAACAAGATGCTCCAGTGGTTTTCAACTGGGGGCAACTTTGTCCCCCAGAGACATTTTACAATTGTCTATCTGGAGACATTTTTGGTTGTCACAACTTGGGGTGTTACAAAATGTCCAAAAACACACAAGACGGCCCCTGACAACAAGGAATTATTTGGCCCCAAATGTCAATGGTGCCAAGACTGAGAAACCCTGACCGGCCTGTATGTAGAATCCTGCTCAGATGCCAACTCCTAACTGGATCTAAATCAACTAAGCAAAGCCTTCAAAGTGAAACCAGTTCCCTTTCTTTCTCTCCCTCTTTCGAGATCCTCAAAGCCTAAGTAGGTCAGAAGCAGCATGAATGCAGTTCCGTTTTGTTTCTGCGCTGCTGAGTTGAAGCCAGGAGTGGCCCCTGGTATTTGTCTTCTTGTTTGACGCAAACATGCATTCTTAGGGCATTGAGTCTGTAGAGCTGCTTTTATAAACGGATGGGTTTCTAGAGGTGACGATAATTGCGAACTTTTAGAGACTACTCACCATTTCCATACATGTTCTTCTTATCCCCATTTTCCAGCGGAGAAAGCCGATGCAGAGAGCGATTTACCTAAGAGACTCACGGTCAGCTGGCAGATTTAGTAATTGATGGAGCTGGACCTGAAATGTAGGTCAATGCAACCACCAAGTCTGGCTCGTAACCGTCGTGCCATGTTGATCTTTAATGCACTGTACAAGCTTCATTATAATTTCCTTCTACGGTGTTGGTCTGATGAGCCTAATCCTTTTTGACTTAAAAACGCAAGGGTGGCTGAAAGAGGGAGAGGGGTTCACAGCTGTGCTGCGTCAGGCAGAACCTCTTGCAAGTAAAATGAAAACAGTTTTGCAACAACCACAGGAAAAAGAAATTATAAACAGATAAAAGTGTCTGGATCACTTGAGTACACTGATTTATGACTAGCACTGTGTCCCTTTGAGAAAGAATACTATACGATGATTCATATTTGGCATAAAAGATGTTTCCTCTAGCTGAGGAAACTGGCAGGTCCTCTTCTGTCTTCTCATATGAATATTTAAGAGCCCTGCCTCACCAATCATTAGATTTTCTAAAAATTATAGGTGTGAGCCTCTTGTCCAGAATGCTGGCTTTCTAAGTAGGCTTTATTGGATCATCTATAAGTTACATACTTAAAAAATAATTGGATTTTTAGGCCACTTGAAGATTTCAGAGCCACTTCTGGGAAGCACTACTCTGTTAATGCACTTGCTGCTGGTCATGGATTGCTCCACGTAGCTGTCGGTACTGAAGGTCTTTCCCAGAGCCTGATGTGGGATGTGCCTCCCCTCTTGCTCCAGGCACAAAATCAAGCTGAACTCTACTAGTTCAACTAGTTCCCCACTCTGGAGCACAACCCCAGAATTGGGCATGCCATAAAGAAAGAGATGAGCTGGGCGTGGTGGCTCACGCCTGTAATCCCAGCACTTTGGGAGGCCAAGGCAGATGGATTACCTGAGATCAAGAGTTTGAGACCAGCCTGGCCAACATGGTGAAACCCTGTCTCTACTAAAAATACAAAGATTAGCCAGGTGTGGTGGCGTGTGTCTGTAATGTAAAGTACTAAAATCAGCCTGGGTTTGTCTTCTTGGGGACCATCAGAAATAGTCACATTTTGCCTTTGAAGGGGAGGGAATGACCCCAGGAACTGATCCCCCAGGAACTCAGGCCATGTTTGCAAATGATACTGACTAGACCTCTAGGCAGCTTACTTGGGAGGCTGAGGCAGGAGAATCGCTTGAACCCGGGAGGCAGACGTTGCAGTGAGCCCAAATCGCAGCACTTCACTCCAGCCTAGGCAACAAGAGCAAGACTCTGTCTCAAAAAAAAAAAAAAAAAAAAAAAAAAAAAATTTAAAAAGGAATGAAATATAGCCATGGTGACTATCAGGGTAGGGGGTAAAGAATGATTTCCTCACCCATTGCAAAGATTATGGCTGAGATTCTTATAACAAAAGACAGATTAACAAGGGAAAAGCAGACACATTTATTTAATTCAAGTTTTATGTGACACTTTATATGGAGCTTTCAGGAAGGAGGATGCAGAGAAACAGCACTGTGTAAATGTTACGCTAAGTCTGATGAAGAAGTGGATCCTTGTGAAGAAATGTGATTGGCCCAAGGGGGTGGAATCTAATGGGAATAAACTGGAGGGAACTCAGCAAGGCCCATCTGTTCAGACCATCCTGTGCTCCTGTGTCCCATCGGGCACCTCTGGAAGGAGAACTCATTCCAGTCCTGTTTCAGGGAAGGTCAGCTAGGTTATCAGGCCTGCTTCAGGGGACATGGCATGAGGGAAATTCTCTCCAATGTTTATGGTTAACTTTTGCAATTTTCCCAAGGTGCATAATTTGGGGTAACATGTCCTGAACCCCAGTGCCAACCAGAAGAGAGGGTCTCCTGGGTGGAAAGTATTAAAAGAAACGTGGGTGTGTCTTCTTGGGGTCCATCGGAAATAGTCATATTTTGTCTTTGAAGGAGAGAGAATGAGCCCAGGAACTGATCTCCCAGGAACTCAGGCCATCTTTGCAAATGATATTGACTGGGCCAGTAGGCAGAAATGGAACTGTGAGAAGGGCTGAAACAGAGCTGTGAGTTTGTGTATGGGGCAGCTGGAAGGAGCTGGAGAGGTTGATGGAAGAAAAGGTTAAAACAAGGAACTGAAAATAAATATTTGAGATTCCATTATCACTACTTATTAAATTTTTGAAGACTACACAGTGAGACACATCAATTTCTCTTTCCTTTAAAAGAAAAAGAGAGAGAGAGGAAGGCAAAACCTAACCTCCCAATCCCAGCAAAAGGAAAGAGACACCCCTGTAACCCAAGGAAAACCAGTTTCCCTTATTGCTATTTCACGGAAGCAGCCTGATCCACCAGGGAGGGACCAAAGAAAGGCTTTTATTTAAAATTAATGGCTGAGGTCGCCTCTTAAAAGCCTGTCATTTACATGAACAGAGGAGCAATTGCTTCCTGACAGCGGTGATGGGAAAATGGAAACATTGTCATTGATGTTTTACCCACAAACCTCCACTCATCTACTTACTCCATTTTTATCCCTTGACCTGTCTTTTTAATCATTTCACCTCCTTTCTGCAAAGAATTACTGCTGTCTCTAACACAGGCAGTGACCTTACTGCCTGGGGGTTTCAAGGACCCCTTTGACAAGGGGAGGTCACTTATGATTGTCCATTCATCCTTTCAGGGATAAATCACGTGGGTTCTTCCCCATTGCATGTGGATTCATGGGAGAATGGAGATACAGGGAAAAGGTTGGGTCTGGGTCTCTCACTGTCCAGAGGAGGGATACCTGCAGTTCCCAGTGCACCGCTCAAAGGACATTGTCCAGGGAGCCAGTGGTCCAGCTAGCACTGTCCTTAGGTGCAAGCATAACTGTCATGTCTTCTAAAGACTGAGTGTTGTCCTGAACACACTAAAGACCATCCTGGCTACAGAACACACCATCACTGCAGAGTATTCCTTGGTTTTGTTTTGTTTGAGGGGAGAGAGGATGTTCTTGTGGCCCCATTTGCCCCAAAGTGAGTCTGTAACTTCTGTCTGACTCTCTTGGAACTTCCCTAAGCCATCAAGTCTGTGTGTCTCCCCAGAACTACAAAGCTACAACATAAATTGAGGCCTTCCTGGTCTGAAGTCTCCAAAAAGAAATTTTCTCTTTCTCTGGCTCTTCCCCCTGGATTTTATTTACTCTAATTTTCCTTCAAGATGTATGTGGTGATGCTTCAGAAGCAATATTGTGCAATGGCTAAGAGTGTGACATAGACATATGTGACATATGACACAGACCCTTCAGTCCGGCTTCACACTGGCCACACTGAAGGGTCTATGTCATATCCCACATTTGCAAGTGTTGGGGAGAGAAGACTTCTCACCCATCACAAGGCTTGTGGCTGAGACCCTGATATCATTTGGAGGTTTGTCTCCTCCAAATATCATACTGAAATATTGATATTTATATTGAAATATGGGGGCCTGGTAGAAGGTGTTTGAGTCATGAGGGTGGATCATTCATGAATGGCTTGGTGCCCTCTTCACAGTAATGAGTGAGCTCTTATTCTATTAGTTTATGCAGAGCTGGTCGTTTAAAAGAATCTGGCACCTTGTCCTCTCTCTCTTGCACCCTCTCTTGACGTGTGACGTGCTGGTTTCCCCTTGGCCTTCTGCCATGCGTGAAAGCTAACTGAGGCCTCACCAGAGGCAGATGCTGGCACCATGCTTCTTGTACATGCTGCAGAATTGTGAGCCAATTAAATCTCTTTTCTTTATAAATTATTCGCTCACAGGTATTCCTTTGTAGCAACACAAAATTGACTAATACAACCCCCTATAAAGAAAGACAGATCAGGAAGGGAAAAGCACACAAATGTATGTAATATAAGTTTCATATAATACCAGAGCCTTCTGAAACAAAGATGCAAAGAAGCAGGAGAACCATGTATATTTTACACTAAGTCTGATGAAGAAGGGAATAGTTATGGGAAAACGTGGTTGAACAAAAGGAGTGTGATCAAATGGTAACAAACTGGGGGGACTTAGTGAGGCCCATTTGTTCAGATGCTCCTACGTGCCTCTGTGTGACATTCCTTCCTTCTGCTATAGGGGAAAGCATCTGTCCATAAGGAATTTTAGGAGAGAAGGGAGGGAGAAGGTCAGACACTGAACTTCTTTGGATACATGACCTGCTTTTGGAAAGGAGGGCAAGGAGAAGGTCAGAGAGACCTTCCTGCTTCTGCTTTCTCGAATACCAAGGTGTCATATTTTGGGGTAACATGTCCTGAACCCCCTCAATAGTTGTGTCTTGGAGAAAATGTAAGCTTCGGTTTCCTTATCTGTAAACTGGGAGTAGTAATTTTAATATACTAGTGTTTGAGGACTATATTAGCCAATGGAATCAGCACAGAGCCTGTGATATAATAAATACTTGATAAATATTACCCTTATCAGTAGTATTATTGCTTCTTAATATTATTATTAACACACATGCTCTATGTAATTCAGGTCAGACCAGTTACCAATGCCATCCTACATTGCAAAACGCCTAATCACCAGTGCCTTTCACAAGGAAAATACTTAATGAAGATCCTTAACATGGGTGAGAAGGAAAGAAGAAGAGGACAGGAAGAACTTGGTCAACACTTCTGGTAAAGCAGGAACTTGCAAAGCAAAGAATCTGTCAACGATTGTGACTCCTCCCTACTCTGTGACGGCCTACCTGGGAGCATTCCTGGAGGCCTAGTGAGGCGTCCGAATAGGAGAGAGTCCCTGATGCTTAAAGGATGGAGGAGCGAGGAGGTCCAGGTGGGTAGAGTCAGGGGTGGGCTGAAAACCTGGAGACACAGGCAGGGCAGGACCAGGCTGAACTCTTAGTTATATTACTTACTTTGGTTTTTAATTCTAAGAGCAAGAAAGCCAACCAAGTGTTTTAAGTAAGCAAATGTTAAGACCAAATTTGTATTTTGAAAAGAAAACTCTTTTTCTTTCTTTCTTTCTTTTTTTTTTTTGAGACGGAGTTTCACTCTTGTTACCCAGACTGGAGTGCAATGGTGCGATCTTGGCTCGCTGCAACCTCCGCCTCCTGGGTTCAGGCAATTCTCCTGCCTCAGCCTCCTGAGTAGCTGGGATTACAGGCACACGCCACCGTGCCCAGCTAATTTTTTGTATTTTGAGTAGAGACGGGGTTTCACCATGTTGACCAGGATGGTCTCAATCTCTTGACCTCGTGATCCACCCGCCTCGGCCTCCCAAAGTGCTGGGATTACAGGCTTGAGCCACGGCGCCTGGCTACAACTCTTTTTCTTATTTTTGAGAAAGACTCTTGATCTGTTGTGCAGGGTACAATCCTGAATCACTACAACCTCCGCCTCCCAGGCTCAAGCTATCCTCCCACCTCCACCTCCTAATTAGCTGGGACCACAAGGTCCCACAGGGGCTTGCCACCATGCCGGGGTAATTTTTGTATTTTTTGTAGAGACAGGGTTTCGCCATATTGCCCAGGCTGGTCTCCTAACATCTGTCTTCAAGTGATGTACCCTTGGATCCCAAAGTGCTGGGATAACAGGCGCAAACTGCCACATTTGGCCTGAAAAGACTACTCTTAACTTAAGCATAGATTGGATGGGACCAGAGTAAAAGAAGGCGGTGGATAAATTGGAAGATGACTGTAGCAGTCTAGGCAAGCAATGTCCCAGCTGAGTGTGTGCTTGGGGTGGAGAAAATGGAAATGGATGGACATACTTGGGAAGTAATTTGGGAAAAAAATCAAGAGGATATATTTATGAATTAGTAGAGAAAGAGGTCGAAGAAGAAAGTGGTCTCAACTGTGACTCCTACTTGTAACCAAAGAGATGAAGTGGTTGGTGGAACGTTTGAGTTACTTTTGAGATATAAAAGTAATTAACTAGACCACTGGGTTTGCAAATCTGGAGCTGAAAGGAAAGATTGGGCTGAATTTGGAAGTGATCATATGGTAATAAAAATGTTTTCAAAGTTGGGGAAAAGTATAGCAGTAGCTAAAAAGGATGAGACATTTAAAAAGTTTAAGATCAAAAGTTCTGGAGCACACACAAGGTAAATGAAAATAAAAAGAACAATGGAATATGAAGGAGGAAGAAATAATTATAAAGGTATTCTATCAATTTGTCTATTTTTAACCAATTTTATATCTTTCATATTTCTAAAAATTACTCAAAATAACATAATATTCCAAAATGAAATACAAAAGCAGTAGTAATTACTTTTTAAAATGTTTAATATTAGTAACAGAAGATTATAGAATATTGAGGTATCTCAAATGTGTGG